GTTTTCCTTGAACATTTAAGATTTAAAAATGTTTTAGCAGGACTACTGTTGCCTTAAGAGTATTCAAAACATAAATTTTCCAGCTCATTATTGGTATAATCACACCATAAAATGTGCCCTGACAACCATTCATCACTTAGTTCAAAAGGGACTGCTCTGTTTACGTGGTCCACAGATACTCAGTGGTTTCTTGTTGCAGAAATGGATCAGCAATTGACAAAAACCATGGAAAAAAGATGGTTGGTGACGCCTAAAAACCTTAACAATAAGTGTGTCAAATAACATGACCTCAAAACAAGCTTTTGACCATCCGATTCTTACGTCCTAGGGGAAAGTTTTACTAACTGGAGCATATTCTAAAACACAACGTTAAAAAAAAATGTTGGTCAAAATATTAGGGTCTAGCTAGTCGTAACTAAAGTACAGCGAAATTCCTGAAAATAAAAAATAAAACAATTTTCAAGAAGACTTAACATAAAGTTAGTCTCTGTGATTTTTTTTTTGTAGAGAGGAAGGTTAACTTTGGCTCCGCATTAATAATCAGCCTCCATTTTCTCATTTTACAGAACTGCTGCTCAACCATTATCGATGACAGTTTATGAAGCACACTGCTTCCCTTCTGCTTTCAATAAGCCAGAACACCTCTGACAGTCCTCCAGCTATCACTTCACATCATCTTGCCTGTCTCCTCACCGAGAGCGCATTAGTTTCATCTAGCTTTCTGCAGGCTTTCACTCTTTTAAATTAAAAATCCCAGACATGAAAGTGGAGCTTTTATCTCTGAACGTGCTTCTGCATCACTAGGCACTGACCTGCTCATCATTCCTTTTGCATTTCTGGACAGTAAAACTGAGCCACTCTGCCACCCAAAGGATATAATGTGGCTGTTTGTAAAACGTATTTTACAGTTTGTGGCACGGGGTAGAGATCGAGTAAATGGTGAAGGCCCATGGAGCCGCTGCAAAGATGAAACTGAGTTGATGTAGGACAGCCATTCACCTGGGACCAGCATCACCTGGGAACACGGCCTCACTCCTGATGGGAAGCAGACATTTTCATACACATACTAAGGTCCTCATTCAACTTACATATAACTGAGTGTCTATAACTGAGGTGACAAAGACAGAAAAGACAGAGCCGAGGTGCACAGGCCATTCACTGCCCACTGGTTACGCATTCCCCTGGAAGGCACACAGGTTGCCTCCTGAGCTGGGATCCTCCGGGGGACTAAGAACACACATTTTGCACAGGTTGAAAACAGAGTTAGAGTCAAATGATCCTGTCATTTTTGACAAATCATCAGAGCCGTTCTGAGTTTAACAAACATGACTTTTATCTTTTTCCTGATGATACATGATGTTCAGCCCTAAGTAAACTAGAATGAAGGGTGCAGAGATACAGCGGCCTTGGAGAAAAACCGCTTTTTTTTTTTTAAGCAGAGCGACTGATGAGCTGCCTAAGAGGGACAAAATCATGCGTAATGTTTATTCTTTAATAGTTTAACAAAGCTCAGAATCTCCTCAAAAGCATTCAGACTACGGCTGATAAAGGTGTTGAACAAAAATGGTTTGATTAATATCACCCTAAAGCAAGCAGAACGCTCATCCTTGTGTGACGGCAGCCTCCCATTGGGTGGGATTCAGCAGTCACATGATGAGTGAGAAACCAAGAAGCTGTCTTTCCCCTTTGATAACAGACTATTTATCAAAACAGTCATCAAATGTAGATTTAACAAGCACCGTTGCCTGTGTCATTCTGGAAAAGAGTGATACTACAGAATTTATACATTTGAATGAATATTTTTCTTGAAGTGAATTTACCAAAATTCTCTACATCAAGCAAATCCACTTACCTTCGGAGGTGGAGAAAGGCTGTGTAACACTGTTTGCGGAACTCCTGGTACTGTTCACTCTGTGTGCCCCCCATTCCTTCCACCATTTCTTTATTCAGCTTCATTGGAGGAGGAAGAGGCTTCGGATCCCGACCCAAAATATATCCAAAGTCTATGTGGAAGAGTTTGCCTGGATGTTGATAAGAAATTCATTTGTTTCAGGAATTTTATCTTAAGGAGCTGGGAAACAGACACGTCATATAATTGGCAAAGCGGTGTCTCTTCATGAAGAATACTAGTTCATGATAAAGTCTATTAAATTGTTCGATCCCCTAACCCCAGGCTTGGGAGTGGCCCTCAGAGTTGAATCTCTTTCAACCCACATTCATTCAGATGAACTGTATTTAAAATCATCCCACACAGTAATATTTTAAAATTTAAATTCCACTTTCAGATCTCCAGAATCAAAGATGGCCAAAGTCTGGACAAATTTTTAAGGTATTAACAGAAATTAGTGTCTTGTAGCAAATTTCTTATGCTGAAGTTTAAGCAAACTGCCCTTCATACAGTGGAAGATCATTTCTTTGAGTATTCCAGAGATGGATCCTCCCTTTAACTTTTCACTACTCTCCCCACCTTCAAAAATACAGAAAAGCAGAGTAAGAATCCTCACACGAGATGTGACATTAATAGCACTGTGAGCTGAAACTCACACGGTATTACATTCACACTGGCAAATGACAATTTAGTTTCAGTGTATCTTTGTCAATTAATGTTGTTAGAATAAATTTTGCTAGTTTGAAACATGAATTTATAAATGTTTTTATTTTATAGTTACGTAAGAGTAGATGTACAGTAAGTTAGTATCAGGTTTTCTGTTGTACATATTTAAGATTATAAAATGTAATTTGTCAACACAGGGGGTTTCGCTTCTGTTTAAAACAGTTGGACTTATTACTCATGACTGAAAAACACCCTTTCAGAACCCCCAAAATGGGCTTCAGGGGTCTCCAAACACAATGAAATTGATATTTTTGGAAAGCTACAGACTTCACCAAACCCCCAAGGGGAAGTCTATGTTTCCAAGAAGATAAGAAGCCAGTTTTGGAATAAGTCATTTGATGGTTTGATATTCACTTGTCTCCTAATCTTTTAAGGTTTAAGGGAATATGCTAGCATTGAATTTTTCATGATTTGGTGAAAAGTTCATAATCAACTTCTATTAAAGCTTTCACTGCCTTCAACTAAATGTGTATCCTCTGTTCAGCTAAGCCAAGTACTTCATTTTGTGCTTTATTCTCATTCTGGACTTCCCATTCATTATCTACCTTGTTAGACAAATACCATTATGCCCTTCAAGAGGTGAAGACACGAGCTTACAATACCATAGGCAGCGATTAAACCTTCCTTGGTTTCATTTAATCATTTACATAATGTTTTGTTACCAGTATACTTCCTGATGATGCCCAGCACTTGAGCAGAGAAGCTGTCTGATCAATCTTTGATTCAAAATTGCCACCCTTAATAAATCATTTATTAAATGGTATCAATCATCATTATTTCATGGGCTCCATGCTTTTAACAGATAACCTAGCCCCATTTTTCTTTATTTCATGACAGGCATTACTGGAATTCCAACATCAGCCACCCATCACTGCCTGCAAATGAAGAGTGTATTTCTATCTTTCTTGTAAGAAAATTCTCAAAGGACAGGATTACTACTTAATTATCAGGCATAAAAGATTCAGTATCTGACTATGAAACCATTACTATGCTTAGCAGGTTCAAAGAGCAAAGCGGTTTAAAACGAGGCCATTAATGTTTTAGGAAAATTCATCCTCACATATACCAAAGGGGATGACTTTTTTAAAATTAGTATCTGTAAATGAAACTTTAAAGAGTTTTTAAAATGCACGTTACGAAGTTTTAAAAATGTTTAAGAAATTCTGGGAGTGTGGTCTTATTCAAATCTGTTATCTTGAATAGTCAAGAGGTTAAAGAATACATTAAACAAACTTAATGTTGACTGTAATTATTTTCTCATGTTCCTGCCTTGCAATACAAAGGGAACAAAAGGTGCTACATAGATTGTCTAAGTGACAAAAACATATTTCTAAAATTCTAGTTCAAGACATCTGTGGGTCTTGGATTAAAGAGAATAGATACTGCTGAAATTAATAGTATTAATGGTAGAGGGTTTTTTTTTTAAATGTCATTTTATCTATTGAATAATTAAATGCAATCAATCTCAAAACTCTATTTATTCCATTTTTCACACTCTGCTTACTTCTACTTGACTCTCTTCTGTTCTGTACAATCCAAGACAATGTTTTTTGAAAATCCCACACAACCCCCAAATTCACAAATTCTTCCCTGGCACTCTACCCCACAGTAAGTTTCCCACTCTCCAATTTTTTTTTGGGGGGGGGGGTATACAACCTGACATTGTATTATTTTTCCACAAAATGCCTGTATTTCTTATGTGAATGTTTTATCTTTCCTGTTGTCCTACCACAAAACCTAGAAACAAAGAAAGTGGTAAACAAGTATTTACTGATACAATGGAGCTTGTATTTTGGAATTAAAAAATGCTGCCTACACCTACGCTCCCACTGCTCCCAACACGTACTCGTTAAGCCCTGAAGATATTCTTGGTTAGAGGTATTTTCACGTACAGGTAAAAAAGCACAGTAATGATAAAATATTTGTAGTAATAGTTTTTGAGTAACAAGGTGCAAAAAGACATAACTAAGCACAGATCAGTACAGACACTGCAATCATCTGTTAAATGCTTCACATAGTTTATTGTCACTTCACATTCACCTGTTAAGACAGCTTCTATAAAACAGGGATACAATTAAGCTGCGCAACGAATAGCAAACCACTATCAGTATCAGCATCAGCATCTCTGATTATATAGCCTATTTCCATTGAGAAAAATTTTAAATGTTATATATTTTCATCTTTCCTACAGTCATTAAAGCCAATGAAATTGTTTTTCTTTTCTTTGAAATATTTTCTTTTAGAGAACTGTGTTCAGGTCTAGCGCAGAACAGTAATCCTTTGATGCTGAAAAACAACGGCCTTGAAAAAGCAATTCTCAAAGATTTTGGTCTTAAAAGTTAAGGACCTCCAAAAAGCCGTAGTGGGACTACCTCTATTGCTATTTATCACATTTAAAATGAAAACTGAGACCTTTCAAAAAGTAGTAACGAATTTAAAAGTAACAAGTGAAAAACACTGTAACGTAACTTGTTTTTTATGAATGACTATTTTCTAAAACAAATATTATGAGAAGGGTGGCACTGCTTAGCACTTTGCAAATCTTTTAAATGTCTGGCCTAATGGGAGAAGATGGATTCACATATTTTCTTCTTTTAATCTATTATGATACATTTTGACTGAAGTAAAAGAGCCAAGCTCCTAAATAGATATGGATTTTAAAAAGGGAGAAGAATCTTAATAACATTTTCAGATAACTACGGATAGCTTTTCTTTGCTACTAAAATAAATTCTCAGGCCCTACCACACCTACTGAATCAGAAACACTGAGCCTGAATCTGCCGGAGATTCTGATACATGCAGAAGCTTGAGGACTTCTGGTATCCTTTATACTGACTAACAACTTTCAGCTTCGTTTAGGTCATGTGGAAGGGACACTGGCAAGATGAATCATCTGAATGAATTAAAACTCATATTCATTGGTTATAATTTCCCTGTTGTCCAACCCTCATTACCTTAAAATTTGACGTGTTTCTGTCCTAAGGGTTACTATGAAAATATATTTTAATAATTTAGTTTATGAAACTTCGAATGCTTTTATAATACATTAAAATGTGGCCTCCCCCCCCAAATTATTCATTTTGAAGAAACAAACAGGGTCTACCCAGCATTATGGAAGATATCAGCTAATAAAATTTACATTAAAAAATTTACTATCTGGAGGGGGTGGGTATAGCTCAGTGGTAGAGCACATGCATAGCATGTACAAGGTCCTGGGTTCAATCCCCAGTACCTCCACTGGAAAAAAAAAATTACTATCCTAATGTACAATTTTACTTCAGTGACTGATTATGCTTTACAATATACAAAGTGATCAAAAGGAAATAAGTTGATTTTCCTCCACAACCTGACTTCAAATTTCTCTAACCAGCCTATATATCACCTAAAAAGGCATTGCTTATTTCAGTCTCTGGGTATTTTACTGGAAAGTATGTTTCTCTCCATTTGCATCCCATACAAACACAACACATTCTTCATGACCCAGTCTAAGTTTCTTCATGAAGTAATTTACAGCTTCTTAGATACAAAGAGTATATAGCTTTTTTGTTTTTTTTTAAACCTCTTAACAAGAAGCAGCAGTGTCCTTCTCAAACATACTTAAAAAAAAAGATAAAAAAACTCGCTCCACAAAAACCATTATTTTCTTTATGACAGGTTTCAGTAAACATAAAAAAGACTAACTTCCTACTACTGGTATTTAAGAAACTTTAAAAAGATCAGATTTTAAATAATGTCTAAAAAGAAAACTATTCACATGATGACAAGTCCTCAATATGTAAACAGCTAAAGTAATGATTAACATAGACTGAAAAAGTATTTATGGATAAAAAGGGAAGGTCTTATGTGCTTGGTTCTATTTTGCATATATCCACTGAGAAATACAAATCAAACTGTAAATCATAGTGTGTCCACAGTCTACAGTAAAATTAAGTTTCGAAAGAAAACAGATTTTTCTGAAACCCTAAGGATGGATAAAATAACATGAAAAAATCTAGTTCATTTGCTTTTTTTTAAAGGCATTTACTGGTTGCCTTACTAAATGCACAATACTTTTTATATCCTTGTCTCTCATGTGCCAGTGAATAAGCAAGCACATTAGGAAAACGAGTCTGGAGTTTTATATTTTATAGTATATTTTATCCCCCAAACCGAATAACTTAAATACAAATAGCTGAGAAAGCACCACCATTTGAACAGTAACTAAGTTCCGTCTGTGTAAGAAGAGTCTGAATATCACAGACAACCACATTTTGACCTGAGAAAAAGGAAAACAATAATCATATCTATTTTTAAATTATCAAGGTTTACCTTAAAGCACAGAAAGGATAACATTAAGTCATTGATCAAATTGATTGTTTCTTTATAAATCTTCCTATATTACTAAGGAGCCATGCAAAAGAGAATTTAAAGGGTA